CGTGGTCACATCCATTCACAACTTTCTGTATATATGCAGGCATATTTTCCAGGGTTAGTGTCTGTCACCGCAGCACGCTCATTCCGATTGACCATGCGAAACATTGAGAATGCTCTTTCGACATTCGCACTGGATATGGGAAGACCCAGCAGATCCAGGGCGCAACATGACAGGATGGGCCGCTCTCGAGCAGGCATCCTCCAAAACTGTAGTGGCTCCACAATTTCCTTCACAGCGTAGACCTGATACGCCAGGAATTCTCTTTCTAGCTGGGTGATATCATGCCCTCGCTGCAAGACGAGTGTGAATAAGTGCTTGTAGATCTCGAACACGTCAGGTAGTTCTTCCTTCACGTTAGGGTTGACGATCTGCTCCCAATACCAACACGAATCGCTGGTGTATTGCCAGTCGTCCGCAATATTTCGTTGGACGGTGCAGCTTCACTTCTTGGTTACAGCACCGTAGTACTCTCGGAAGCTGTTAACGGCGCATGAGCGCTTCTCCTAGTCAACAATGTCGAGCATACAGTCGACTTCCCCGCCAAAACTTGTTACTGAGGCGTCGGTCCATTGGCTTAACAGTGCCTTTAGGCGTAGAGCAAGTAGAAAATAGACCTCATGCACCAAAGTAGATTCAGCCTCTAGTTGCTTGATTATTGAGAGCACTTCGTTCGAGGTTTTTTTTTTTTTTTTTTTTTTTTAAGAATCTGAGCTTAACAAGCAGGTCATGCAGAGAGCTAGATGTCATCACAAACTTCTCACATTTATTCCCCTTCGCATCATTACTCTTTGGGAATGCCACATTAGCGTGCCAGTAGTCAAGGACGTCAACAACAGCTTCGTAAGACGAAAACCATCTAGATAGGCTGACAGTCGATAAGCACTTCAGCACAACGTTCATGCTCGCACAGGTGGAACCAAACCAACGGCGAAGTTCTCTGAAGCTCTTCAAAATGGCAGGAAAATTCACGACGAAGTAACGAGCTCCCTTGACGCAATTCATCTTCAGTCTCTTAAAGGATATTGTTCAGAAGGTGGCACAGATCTTTGAAATGCAGAGCACGAAATTCCCTGTGCGACTGCTGCATGTCCCTGTTGAGTTTCTGCATGTAGGAAGCAGAATCCGAGCACACGACACAAACGTCACTGAAGGACTTGGCAATTTTTCGAACAACCTCTTATATCATCATTCCGATAGACGCGGCATTGTACTGTTGTAGAACCTGCAAATATGCCATCAAGGTCCGGCGGCCAGGTACCTCGTCATAGTAGAATGTCACTAACACCGCCACTGCTGGCCGACCACGGAGCTCTGGCGTTTTGTTGATGGCTTGAGATATCGGGCGATTCTTGACTGCTTTCTTGATCATCTCGAGATCGTGCTCGTAGACTTCCGGTAGGTATTTTCGGTACATCTGAGTGCTTGATGGCATTGTCCGTGCAACTGGACACTTTCCCCAGAACAGGCTGCCAAGCGGCCCATCTGTCTGATGGAGCGGAATCCCTGCTTGGCAAAGCGCTCGGCAGAACCTGTGCGTAATGTCATCAGCGCCCTCCCTACGACTCTTGCAACTTTCAAGTAATCCTCCATAAAGCTTTGGTGAGACGACTGACCTAAGTATAGAGCCACATTTTTTTTTTCTAATTTAGCAATGCAGCCTTTCATAGGCATCACATGAGAGATAAGCTTTTAACGATAAAAATTAATTTGTCCAAAATAAGTACGGTTACATTAAATTCACTCACCTGTCTCGAGACGAGGTTTCTTCAGCTAGATATGCCGATTTGAGCTCTGGTGCTCTGCGATGCGGAGGGCTCCATTTCCATTAGCCGTACTAACTTTCACGCGGTAGAACTTGCAGAAAACGAGGTCATTGCTGGCAGTCGCTTCAAAATCTCGATATTCTTTGGCGTAATCAGCAGGGAGCTTTCGCTTCCTGCCCATGGCGTGGTTATGCTGGAATAAACTGACTGAATCTCGGGTACCTGCTATCAAAGCGGATGGCGAGGGAACGTGTGCAAAGGTTAAATTTTTAGCGAAAGGAGGCCAGAGAAGGGTGAATGAACTTCTCGGAAAGGAACATATCGGGGAGAAAGGCCAAAAAGTGGAGTGGCAGGGAAGGTGAGAAGTGTTCGACCTTGGTTCGACTATTGTTGTGGGCAGAGATCTTGTTTTTCATGATAAGAGTCCAAAGAGACTCTCTTTGTAAAGCTAGGGAGCGTACGTGGAACGAACTAAAGTGTAAACAAGAAAATAAAATAGGAAAGGTTGTTCGAGGATCCCAGGGAAAAATGAAGGGTAGTCTGGTTTTCACAGGTGGCGGTCCTCGAATTCAGAGTTTTTCGGATAAATTCGAATTGGCAAAATTTTACCGGCGAGTGTTTTTCGGATTTTATCGCATTTATCCGAAAACGCAGAACCCTACTTTTAACCCAGCAGATCTTGTAATGTTCGCTTGGGGAACAAATGCATTGGCCATGGTCAGAATGCACGAGGATCATACGGCAAGCGTAAACAAGTATGCGTTTTAAGACATGTATTATAGTATGATACTACAGTTCGTCGTACTGCCACTATAGCAATTCGACTTTTTCAGTGTTTTGTGTGCTTCCGGCAGTGTTTAGATATTTGGGGCACGCGTACGCGGCGTCGCTTCTGACATCGAAAGAGCTGTACTGCTGTTCAATCATTCGAAACCGGAAGCAAGTTAGCTTTTTGCGCAACGCACGAACTAGACACTTTTCAGACCTGATCAAACTAACCAAACGCTGAGCATGCATTTCAGGAGGGTACGTGGTCCGTTTGCCAAGAAAATTGGTGGTTTTAATTTCTGTCGTGTGTATCGAGTCTTTTACGCTTCATCGCACGATCGATGCCTGTAGTGACACCAAGTGTCACGAAGCGCTTTGTGCGACCAATGCTTGGCTAGTGAAATAAGTGATTCATGAAAGCATTTTGCTTACTTATGCAGTTATTCTCGCGTTTGATAACGTCAGAATTATGCTGCTTTGTCCGGTAGCAATCTAGATGTCACAAACCATTCGTAATAATGTAGCTGTCACGAGTCATTCTTTCGAGTTTAGGAATTACAGGTGTTTCAGCCATTCGAAGAGCGGGAATAGGTCCAGCTTTTTTATTCTTAGGAGTTAAAGTGAACGGAGTTGTCTGGAACTCAAAATTCTACAGAATGAAGAACGAACATAATCTACTCATTCCTCAACACTTATTTGAATACAAAAGGTTAACCAGTTGAGGGTAAACTAGGTGCTCGATGATTTTGCACGGAATGCCAGTTACTAGAGGACAGTTTATAAAAAAAAGTCAAGAACTATTTTGAACACGTGGCGATAAAATTGTTTTTGATTGGCACCCTCCTACTTCATTCATGGTCTATGATTGGCACCATCCTACTTTATTCATGGTCTATGTTTGACACCCTTACTTCATTCACAGTCTCAGCATGAGGCCTGAAGGTTCGTTTTTTTATATCGGGTTCCGCCCACGGAGAACTTAGCAGCCCTAAGATATTGGCCGTTGCCAGAATGGCGCGCTACGAAACCACTTTCATACCTTTCTGTTTGTGTTTACTAATCTCTGTAAGAAGTTGCCTGATTAGCCTACTGGCCACAAAGCTACAAGGTGAAGTGATCTTCCGTACGTTACGGCACAGAAGCAATTATGGAGACTTGGGTTTCCCCTGTGGCTCAGAATAATGCAATGTGCAAGACAATACCTTTGAAGCGCTTCTTTTTCTCAATGCAATACTATGCATTTGAACAAGGCAGGCACCCCTATTTGTATTAAAACAAACGGTGCCTGTCTTCCTCTTTCGTTTGTTGTAAACTCTGAAGTGCAACAATATCAATAGGCAATGAAGCACAACCATCAGACTGAATTCCTTGAAAATAAATTATTGTTTTCATAGACCAAACATTCGAAAAGCGTTTTCTCTTTTATCCAGTAATTTTACACTTATCCGTTCTTGTTTGTTTTTTTGTTTTTTTTCATATGGAATCAGAAGGACAAATTTTGCATTATTTTTTATCGACCCTTTAATTTCCTTGAAATATTTGTACATCGAAATAATTTAGGCTCAAGAGCAAACCCGTCGTTTAGAAGGCGTCACGATGCCGCTCGCGCAGCTGGCCCTGTAGGCAGAGTGCCCGTGACCGAACGACTATCGCTCATGGCTCCACCGCAAAAAGCTGCGGTTCGATGCCTGGACGCAGATAGACCTTTTTGTTATTTCCGTAAATGTCACATTCTGGTAAATTCCCGAACCCTGTTGTTTACTCGAGGTTAGGATGTTCTACGCGCCGAAACTTCTCGCCGATTGTTACAGAACCCCACGCGTATACATAAGGGGCTCCGCGTGACGAGCCGCAGTCAGTCCCGCCCAGCGCTCGATCAGGCTGTTCCGCCGACATCGACGCCTACGACGTTAGACTTCTTTTAATTTGTTTAGGGCACAAGTTCACCCTATTAGACCTTTAGTTTCTCCAGTTAATACGCCGCCTCATCTCCTGTCATTCGTGACACTATGCAAATACCGCATCATTTCCTTTCGACTAAAAATAATGTTTCTTTTTCTTAGTTTGTCTCTCAAGTTTTCTGGAAAGCTTGGGGTGCATAGTTCGCCCCTTAAGCAATGTAGCAGGCTTGTTGTAATTAAAACAAGCGGCTACGATGTTAAGTTCAGGAGTGGGGTTTTTAGTCCAGAACCGCAAAGCGCTGCTCAATCGTCTGTTTCGAGGTGAATTTTTCATTCTGACAAATTCTTTCGTTTATATGTATATGTTGTTTAAAATAAATATGCCCTTTTATGCAATTGCAGACTTCTATAACAATTGCTTTTCTCAAATAAGCTCTAACTTCTGGAATCAAAAATATCTTGATCCACATTAATAAACCTATTTCCCTATGGCGATTTGATTTTAGCCGAACGACCACAGCGGTCGTTCGGCTAAAATCAAATGGCTAATCAAATCAAATGGCGTTCGGCTAATATGGACTGGTGCTTATATTGTAGCTTCTCCTTTTGCCGATTCACTAGGTCACGCGCTTATCGGAGCAGCGTGATGTTGCCTCTACCTGCTGAGTAAATGAAAACCCTGTTATATTTTTAACGCAGGCACTTCAAGGACGACCAAGCAAGCCAACATGAACTTAGCACCAAAAAGAACTCCCTACCTTCAGGTGATTGGAGGTGTTCCTAGGTCTCCTTTATTAAAACCAAAGATTTGTCGTGAAGCTGTAAGGTTCAAACCAAGCGTAAACGACGTGATTCTTGTAACCCATCCGAAGTCAGGAACGCACTGGGTAGCGCAGATTCTCCTGCTTGTTCTGAACAGAGGAAGGCCTCCTAGAGATCTCGCCGACCAAATAAAACGAGCTCCGTTCATCGAAATGAATGGAGTTCCAAATTTTGACCAATCACCGAGACTCCTGCGTACCCATTTGCCATTTGGACAGTTGCTATACAACCGGGACGCCAAGTACATCTACGTGGCACGCAATCCCTATGACACTTGCGTCTCTTCTTATTATCATGTCAAAATGAACGCCTACTACAGATTTGCAGACGGAAGCTTCGAAGATTTTGTCGACGCGTTCCTTGAGGGAAAGGTTGGTTTCGGTCATCACTTGGATCACGTGCTATCCGGTTACGCAAGAAGACACGAACCTAACGTCTTCTTTGTGACGTACGAAAAGTTAAAGGCGAACACTGCAGGGACCGTGCTCGAGTTGGCTAAGTTTCTTGGTGAACCATATTCCTCAGAGTTCGACAAAGATGAGGGGTTGCTCGATGAGGTTCTGTTCAAGAGCAGCCTTGATTATATGAAGAAGACATACAAAGCAAGCCATGAAGAAGCCCGTATAATTTACAACCTTCCTTCCCCGTCACCCGAGGTCGAAGCAGAAGCGAAGAAACTGGGAAGCAAGGCAGGATTCGCCCCAGTGCGCAAAGGACTTATCGGTAACTGGCGAGCTCATTTCTCGGCAGAAGAGCTAGAGCGAATGCAAGCTTGGATTGATGCCAAGACTCAAGGTTCGGACGTAATGAACCTTTGGACGCACGAATTAGCTGGAACAAGGCTGACACAGACTCCCTAGATACCTGTCACTATTCTTGAATATCTTAAGAAAAGGAGGGTCATAAAAGCATAGCCGCCCTCAAATCTAATAAAGAAGTTTGTTTCAACAGTCTTGATAGTGTGTTATGGAAATGGTTATTTTGTCTTTTTATGACCCACTTTAAGGCATGACTCTTGAAAGCCAAGTAAATGTAAGGGTTGTATATTGAAAAAGCACCGAAATCTGGTCAAGAATTTAGGGACTAAAGAATCATATTAAGGCAAGTGCCCCAAGATTAAATTCTACAGCCTGATTGGCGATGCCCTAGCTACGTGACAACTGCAGTCACTGACAAAATGAGAATGGCAGGGGCATTTCAGAATAGCATTTCAAGCCTCCAGCCTTCTACCACGCCTTGGTACCTAGTGCAGTTTAATTATAATAATAATAATTATTATAATAATATTAATAATAATAATAATAAATCTTTATTTAATGTGTGACAAAACAACCACAGTGGTCTTCACTTTGGTACACACAAAAGAAAATAAAAAGCAAGCGAACAAACATGGCCGATCAAAGGACGAGGTACCACAACAGTGGCCAGTGGAAGACATGCACGGTAAGTTCGCAGTCTAAACGGGTGCCGTGTGGTTTCTTAACTTTTTACGGAAAACTGAAATGTCACTGAATATATCCAGGCTAGACAACGCGCTTCCATTGAACGAAGTCTGCAAACGAGACATTGGCAACAGACTAAAATTGAATAAACGTAAAAAGTAGCAAATTGTCTAGTACCATGGCGTGAACGTGAAAATTCACACCGCCCAAAAGCAAGTCGGTGTCCAACACCCCATTCTCATCGTCGTACAAGAAATCTAGGTCACATTCGAGCATTCTGCTTGACAAAGGTAAGCGAAAAACTAGATTAAAAAAAAATTCATAATTATAAAAAAATCGACGTTGCATGGGTCTATTATATGCAATGTGTATCAGCCTTTTTTGCACAGATTCAGTTATCAACGGCTGCTTGCAAGATAGCGAATTTCAAATAAATGAACGGAATTCATGCTTAAGATATTACTAACGCACAATATAAACGAATCAAACATGTAGGGCTTCTGAACTGCTTAGTCATACGGGAAATCATGCCCAGTATTTTCTTTGCGCTTCCGACACTAAAACACACATGAGCATTAAATGAAAGCACGCTATAAACATACACACCGGGATCCCCAGAAACAGTCATGCGTTCGATTTGCATTCCCCTTAAAACGTAGGTGAAAGGTATAAAATCGTGAAGTCGGCACAAGGAAAGATCACGTCGCTTTGGAGTACGTTGCAATCAACGAGAGAATTCACACTCATATAAATATTGATGTCATCTACGAACAGTATTACTTCAGATACTTTGATATATGATGTTATATCGCTAACAAATATCAGGAACAGAAGCTGCTTAAGTATAGACCTTTGGGGGGACACCTGACGTTAAACGACATATTTTCGTGTGGGTGCCAGAAGTGCGAGCATTATTCGGACGATGTGACAAATAACGTTTAAAGGGATACTGAACCAAGGAATTTAGTGCCCACAATAAGTGGTGCACGTTCTTTCCACGAGTCAGCAGTTGCCGGTGTGCGAGAGCACGCGCAACAAAAATGACGTCAAAGACCTCCATTCCCGGTTAAGATGACAGTGAAATGTATGGGCTTGGGGCCAAAGGAGAATGAAGACAAGTTTTTCATCTACACAGTGGTGTCCGGTGTAAAAGGTAAGCGATTGATTGGTCTAACAAGCACGTAGCTTTCACTTGTAGAGATGAAAAGCCTGTCTTTAAACTCCTTTGGCCCGAAGCCCATGCATTTCACTGGGCGCGAATGGAGGTCTTTGACGTCATTCTTGTGGCGTGTGCTCGCGCACACCGGCGGCTGCTGGCTCGTGGAAAGAACGTGCTCCACTTATTATGGACACTCAATTCTTTGGTCCAGTACCTCATTAAGCCAGATACATAATACCCAACAACAAGCATATAAAGAAAGCTTTGAGCTCGCGCATGTCGTCAACGCACGGCGGAAGGCTGGGACGGATGCTGAAGGTACGGTGTTCGAAAAACACGCCTTGGGGTTTTCATTCTGCCAGCGACTACAGTAAACAACGGCTCTCGCTGTGGTTCTCCTGAAACCTAAGACAGCGTTACAACTTTGGCTCGTTCCTACGTACACGCAGACAAATAGATGAACCCTATCGTCTTCATCTATGCGCCCTTATACGTTCAACAAAAGGTTCTACAAAATTCCGAGACAAAACCCGCAAAAGGTACACTCATACGTTTTATGCAGGTGTGGTCAGATGGGCATATAATAGGGCATGGATAGCCAAACTGCGGCTCGCGAGCTGCATGCGACTTTTTGTGGGTCAAAGTGAGGTTCCCGGCTCCCTGGTAAGCGTGCCCTCCTTCCCCTTCTGAGCCACGAAAACTATAAAGTGTTCTACATTAAGAAAAAAAACAAAAAAACTCACAGTCTTGGCAGCTTTGTACTCCACTACGTACATACAGTTGGGCTGCTTTTTTACACACAGATTTGCCCAGTAACACTGTTTTCTTTGTTGGAGGAAACAGTGTTGCGTGACTGCTGGAAATAGTGCTGCTTCAGTGCGTCCGTCCAGCTGGTGGGGCTGCTTGAGTGCGGTTATCGCCGCACTCAAGCATCCACACCTGCTGGACGGACGTGCACTGAACTAAACATCTTCCTCCTAGTTTCTGTGTTCTGTCCCCCTTTTTTCCCCAATTTCTTTTCCCACAAACGCCAGTGATAAGCGTGTACAAGTAGCACAGCTCTAAAAGGCCGGTTGTGCTTTTTCCTATCATACACAAACAAACAATCAAAAGTGTTATCCGGCTAGCAGGCAGGAAAGGCAATTGCACTCCTGTCCCAGGGTCCAGTGAGGTTAGTCGACCCTAACATCCAATTGACACGGCAGCGTAAAGGCGCTTCTAACTTAGGTCCCTTAGCTGAAGGTACCTGCAGTAAACGACGTTCTTTATCACACGATAAATAAACGGAGCATTTTGAGTTGATGTAGATTGCCTTCCTGCTAAACCGCGAGAGGAGCACATGATAAACAATTATTTATCGAAATCGGTCTGACGCGCAGTTTTTGATTATTGTGTGTGGAATAGCACATTTAAAACCTAAATATTATTTGTGTTTGCTTTCGCCGCACTTTACTTTTTTTTCTCTAAGTTTAAGGGCGCACCTAAATGAGACTTGCTTTAAAGCGTCCAACTCTTTTGGCCACACTGGCCTTAAATCACCTGCGCTTCCGAGTTTCCATTGCGAGGTGGGCGATCTTTTCTCCTTTAGCAGCTCCATTTTTTCCGCAAAGTTCTCGATGAAGTAGCTAAATAGTGCCCGCTAGAAACGAACCACGTCGGAGTCTCACAGTCACGCCAGTCACGTCATAGAAAGGGATGGACAATGACGAGGATAAAAGGTCCTGAGCGGGAGAGTCGGGCGACCAGTCTACAACCTCGAAAAAGAGCTCGCAGTGGTCCATCGCGTTCGGGCTCGTAGCAGACATTGTTTTCCACATGTCGCCACTGCTACCTGCTAGACGGGGTATGCGTTTCTCGTTAATGAATTATTCTATCACATTTGTGTTCTCTAATCATTTCATTATTTTCTACTTATATGTATTCAATTTGTTATAATGCATTAAACAAGGTATATTTATATATCTGTGATTTCTATTTTAAGTTCGTGGTTCCGAGGCTACTCCCTGTAGCTGTAAAGGGAACTTGGCGAGCTGTGTTTAACACAGGACCTCCCTTAGCGAAAGGGACCTTTATGCGCCGTGTGATTACGATCTCCAGCTCCGTTTACTACAGGTACCTGTGCCAAAGTTACCTACCTTTACGCTCACGTGTGAATTGGGTATAACATGGTCAAGGTTGACCGACTGAATTTCGGGAAGGGTCTACTGAGAGCCAGGAGAAGGCGTGACTGACAGCGTCTTATGTCCTACGACATGAGCTTAGTTCACGGACGTAAGGGGACGTCCGCTTTTTTCTGCATCAAAACTTTTTCCAAAGCCAATGAGAAGGAGAGAAAACACCAAACTCCGTTTCGCTGAATGTCGGGAACGACACAAAATATACGCCAAATAGTGTCCACTGTGAACAACGCCTTACTGGTGAAACCGTTAACTTTAGTAAATGCTGCGGTCTTTTATTCACAACCACTATAAACCCGGTCTTTCTCATACATCGACATAATATGAGACATTTACCGTCGCATTTATCAAAGTATGTTTATTATTCGAAACAATGCACACGATGATTTATTCTCAAAATTTATCAAATTCAAAACATAATTCATGTAAGCAAAATTGTAATCAGAAATACATGTATTTTATTTAGTTGCATTAGAACCTAAGGGCTACATTCCAGTTTAAAAAAAAAAAAAATTCATTCTCAGAATTAAAGAATCGATATCACAGGGAAACCAGTATTATTTGTCTTTTCCAGCTCGAAAACAAAATCTGAAATAATCATTCAGTTTTGACAAGAAAAACTAAGACACCATGTGCAACAGCCACACTTTTAGTGCACAGTGAAAATCAACAACGACTACCATGTAATTTGGTTACCCAAGCACTCTATAATAGTTTTATTTTTTTTTTAATAATTAGATCGAACATTTTCCGCTTCCCGTGCGACAGTATTGAAGTGGCATCCTTATGTATCCCATGACTTCTCTATTCCTTTCGCATTATATAATTCTGCAATTTCTTGCCAGATTGCATCTTCGAGTTCATTCACAGTCGGCGCTTTTCATTTTAATTGTTTATAATTTGAGAGCTCCGGACGAAAAAAAGAATAGCACAAAGAGAAAATATAACTAACGGTCCGGCCACAGGTCAATAAGGAGGTGTTAAAAGGGTGTGATTCAAAAGCCGAGGGGTTCACCTGAGCGTATGATTCTAGCAGACTACTTGACACTAGGAAAATGTGGATAGGAAAAGAAGTGATATAATAAAATGATATGAGGAAGGCGATAAAGATGAAGATAGGTTGATCAATGATGGCCGAGAGGAGTTTTTGGTCAGCATATAAAGACAAAAAGCATTG